AGATAAATAGTGTTCATATCGATATCGGAATTATATCGTATCGACCGAAATTAAGAAATATATCGTGATATCAATTTTGGCCATATCGTCCAGCCCTATTCCAGAGTAATGGCAAGACTGAGGACAGGGTGGTATGTTTTTCCCCACTAAGTGCATCTGTAAAAGGACTGAGTGGTTCAAGAACTGCTTTAACAGTTTCTAAAACTGTAATGTCCGAGTCTTTTGGCATCAGATACCATTTTTTCCTGTCTTCAGCCAGCACAGCACAGACAACCTGCTGCTGCTCCAAGAAACGTTCCACCATATCGTATGAAGAATTCCAGCGAGTGGGTTCATCATGAATGAGTTGGTGGTCTGGAGAGGACAGATCTGTCTGTTTTTTGGCCAGCTGGCGTGAAAGTTTTGGTGATCTTGTGAAGGCAGAGATAGTTTTTCGAAGCCTTGACAGCGCTGCAGACACCCTGTTTATCTCTAATGCCTTATTTACAGCAAGGTGGAGATTGTGTCCAAAACAAGGAATCCAGGTGTAGTCTTCAAAGGCCTTTTTGTTATTTGTGGCATTATCGGTTGTGATGCCTGACATTCTTACAATGTCCAACTTCCAGTCTTCAAGTTTTTCTTCAAAGGCCTCCTTTAAACTTTCAGTAGTGTGATCTGTGTTGAGACCACAGCAGCCAAGACACCAGGATTGCAGTTCCCACGATTTACTAATGTACTGCAGAGTTACAGACATGAAAGTGTCTGCAGTTCTACTTGTCCAAAGATCTGTTGTGCAGCTGTAAAACGGTTTCTCTCCGAGATGCTGGATTATGAGGTCTCTGGTGTCATTGTAGATGCGGGGAATCTCAGTGTACATAAAAAAAGTTTCGGCTTGGAAGCTGGTATTTTGGGTTGAAGTGATGAAGCATTTGTTGGAATCCACATTTTTCAACAGTATAAACAGGCACTTGATCCATACATATAAATTCAGCAACAGCTCGGTTCAGTCTTCTTGCCTCAGGTGAGTTTTTTTCGTATTTCTGCTGATGCTGAAAAGCATCTGTAACAGTTGTCTGTTTCAGTGTTTGCTGGGGTGTTTCATTATCTTCGTCTGCCTGCAGCTGTAAAAGGAATATATATTTTAGTAATGCAATGGGCGGCTGAGTCTGACCAAATGCAACATTACATCAACACTAGCTAAAATACAACTTTTCAGTAAATAAACCTCAAGATTTTATAATACATTTAGATAAGATTACATGAAGTGTATATGATATCACTGTTACATAGATGGAAACTGTAATATTAAAAACACTTTACAATAAGATTCCATTTGTTAGATAAAATGACCTAACAATAAACAATAGTTATATAGCAATTATGTATTAAATAACATTCTGCACACATTAATTAATGTTTTAAAAATATATTGTTCACTCACTGTAAGTTGATGTTAGATAATACATGAAGTCATGTAAATGAATGGTATAAAAAAAAAAGCCACTGCACAAAACAAATCCCAGCCGGGTCCGTCACTTTTTTGGGTCCCCTTGAAACATTTCAGTTGTGGTCCGTGCTACTTGCAGCGCGTTTCTTCATTTGCATGTGTTGTGAGGATTTGCAGCGCCTGTGTTGTCAAACTGATGATGTTTTCTTAATTTGCTGGTGTTTTTTCAATTTGCATGTGTTTTCTTAAGTTACAGCGCGTTGAGCTCTCTCGGCCACCGTACTTTTTCCTCCTTTCCTGTCAACAAGTGGATTCAGAGTCACTGCATCAGCAGCACCACCGGTCGCCATGTCTCAGTGCTTTAATTAAGAGAGCGCATCTGCGCATCTTTCGGATAGCGCATCAAGAACCGGGTTGACCGGGTACTCGGTACCACCGGTACTTAAGAAAACGTAGTACCGTAACTTTTTAATTGTTTTAGTACTGACTTGGTACCGAAGTACCGGGTCTTTTGACAACACTAAGATGTTTATAGGGCTCTATGAAATGTTTTATTTTTTTCCCAAGTTCCGTTTTATTTTTTTCCAAATGTATTTTTTTTTTTCTGTTTGAATTTTTCTGGATTCCATTTAAATTGTTAAATAAAATTGTATTAATCAAAAAGCATGTCTAATTAATTGAGAATATTAAATGTATACAATTTAACAGCAATTTATTAAAAGTTAACAAAAAAATACATTTTTATGGCCCTATGAAATGCGTTTTATTTTTTTCTCAAATTCCATTTTAATATTACTGAATTCTTTTTTTTCCATTTATATTTTGGGTT